CTCTCTCTCTCTCTCTCTCTCTCACACACACACACACACACACACACACACGCGCGCGCGCGCGCGCGCGCGCGCATTTGTCACGTTCAACATTTAACCGTCACTGTTGGTCGTCATCGTTAACGAACGACCTGGTGACTGTCAAGGTTAAAGGAAAAGAAGGAGAAAAAGAAGGAGAAGATGGAGGAGGAGAGGAGGAGAGGAGGAGAAGGAGAAGGAGAAAGAGAAAGAGAAGGAGAATTAAAAAACAAGAAGACGAAGACGGGGAATGCTTCCAGTGTTTGAAATGTCTAATTCTGTTCTTCTAATTCACCCCTCCTTCGGGGAAAAGAAAGAAAGAAAGAAAAAAGGAAACGGAAATTGGCCTATGTAACGCCTGTTAAAGTTACACAAAAAGCGATGATTAACACTGCGCCTTCGCGCGATCGGATCAAATTCACAACAAATCGACAACTACGCAATCCCCCAGGGGTAAAAGAGCTTGTTGACTCTTTGGACTCGATTACGGTCAGATACATCGCGGAAAGTCTTAGTCTGAATGTGCCCTCGTAACCAAGAATACTTGTGAGCAAAGAAAGAGGGAATAAAGAACAAAGAAAAGCAGGAAAAGAAAGAGGAGGAGGAGGAGGAGGAGGAGGAGGAGGAGGAGGAGGAAAGAGGAAAGAAGGGTGAAGTGCTCCCTTACCATCTCTGAATATGTAATCCTCTCGCTGAGCAAGAGCCGCTGGGTTGTCATCTTCCACAAAGACAGAGGTAGACAGCCCCAAAGGTCGGCTATGGCGTTCTGTCGTCTCCCTTCCCCTCCTCTCCTCGGAGGCGCGTCCATCTCCTACTCCCTCCTTTGTCTCTTGCCCTCGACTTTCATTATTCGTTGCCGACAACAGTTCCTTCTCCAACGTGGCAGCATCCTTATCCACTAGATCAACCACAGTTGTTCCCATTGTGCTTCAATTCTTGTGCTTCAATTCTCTATCGCAGGTGTCGTGTAGTTGAATGGGATTTTTTTTCTGGAAAGTGGACTGCAGACCTGGTTACCAACGGTTATGCACAATTCCGCACCACCACCTTTTCCCATGTGGTCCTCTGGTGGGCCTCCTATCTTTTAGGAGGCCCAAACGAAAGGGAGGCCGCTGCTAGCGTCCGGCCCAGCCCCCGATTATTTAGGAGTAGGCTATTTTAGTATTTTCCCGTTTTCCCAACAGCCGGGGGAAAGGTAGTGATGTACCCCACTTCAACACGCGCATATACCCAGTCCCGGCGCCCAACTTGCATCTATACCCGGACCCCTTTGGTGGTTAGAGAAAATTGCAACTGTACCCCACTTAAACCACCAGTACTTGGCACAGCTATCCATGCCGAGCCTGGAATGCCCCTGCGCGCCAATTTTCGCCGAAGCGCCGGGGTACCGTCTTGAAAATTTTTTGGCTGGTGCTGCCAGCCGTTTTGGCACGGTACCCCGAAGCCCTAAAGGCGCGGCGCGTTAACGGGAAAGCGCCACGGCCGATAGCTGGCCCAAGTACTGGTGGTTTAAAGATGGGAATGCCCGCTATATACCCAGTCACAGTGACGGACCCAATACCCTTACAAGGGTATTTGGCCATGTTCTTACAGTCGACAGACCAATGACATCGACGACCATGACGAAGTCGATCCGAAGTTAAAAGTGCGTGCACTTTTCGAGCGGCACTTTGAGGCAATTCGCTCAACCATGGAGGCTGAGGCCTATCTCTACGAAAATTTGGTTAAACCCCCAGTACTATCTATACGAAAATTTGGTTAAACCACCAGTACCTACAGGTTGTCAAGGCCCGTGGCTCAGGCTACCGAGAGCCTGGTCATTTATGAGCCTCGGACTTTATTGTCGAGCCTCGGACAACCGGTAG